AGAAATTATAGTAATTTATATCATGTATGGTGACGGCGATGTGGGTTTTGAGTCTACTCACAGCCCATATATTTTTTGGAATTTTTTCCTTGTTTTTTTTTATCTCTTTTTTCTTGCATTATTATTTCTAATATAATAACTGACTATTTGGCATCATAAAACAGTAGGCAGAGCTTATCCATAGACTTAGTGACAACCAGGCACCATATGGGAACGCTCGGCAGTGTTTCCGCTCCAGAGAGTGCCAGGAGAAATCACTTCATTATTACGCTTATATCAGCTTATATATCAAATCTACGGCTTATTTATATATCAGAATTGATCTAATATGATATAATAAACACTATAAATTACATACAAACATGTTATATAGTACTCTAGACTGAATAAAATAAGCCATAATATGGCGAGAGACCATCGCGAATATTTTGATATAAATGAGTGAATCCTCTCATGTCATGTTCTTTGGTCTCTGAGTAAGAGAAAATGGTGTTTTGAAGAGGATAACTGCACTGGAGCATCAGTTTACTAAGAAATACACCCAAACAAACGCGATTTTTGCGAAATTTTTTTTTTTCGAGACTGCAGGCCGGTCAGCGTTAAAGGCCAATACGTATCTCGGAAGTAACTTATTCACTTATGGTACATCGTTCTGCCTTTATTACTTAATTAAATGGAATAATATTCACAGAAAATGTAGAATAATGATTTCTCTAATTAAGATCGCTCAATTTTTGGAAATATTCCAAATACTTTGGGAGTTATGTGGGAGTAAAGGGCAGATTTTTTGCAACATTCCAAGAACTAACAAACTTTATTTGTTGTGAAATAAAGGTAAGTTATTTTAGGGGACAGGTAGCTTATATAATATGTATAAGCATTGTTTTCTCGGCACAAAGTGTCCAAACAACCTTACGTCGTCCCATATAGGAATAAATCGCCCCCTAAGGGCAGTTTTAGTAAATCAGTTTTTTTCAGTGTTTTCTCAGTTGTTGTTTGAGGTATATTTTTGATAAATATTTTTAAAAAAAGAGTGAAAACACTTTGTCTTGTGCACCAAAACTGGAGGAAATCGGACGGTAAATAAAGGAGCTACAATTTTTTAACCGACGCCCCCCTCAAGCTGGTCCTAGTGGCACTAAAAGACAGAAAAGGGAGGTAATCCCAGAGAGGGCTTTGATACCTAAGTCCTTATAGAGGGGGATTCCCCTTCCAGACACTAACCCCAACTCCCTCTCTCCTCCTCCCTATCTTCCAGATGCCATCACCAATCTTCAATAAAGGTAAGTGAAAATGTTATTTTATATGTTTATTTAAATTTATTAATACATAATTTTACACTATATTTGTTGTGTGTATGTAAAACTATAATTAATCTCTATAAAATGTATTTTTCTTTTTGTGAATATTTTTTGGTTTATGGAACGGATTAATTGTATTTCCATTATTTCTTATGGGAAATATTGCTTCGCTTTTCAAACTTTTCGAATTTAGTGTTTAGAACTAGTTCTTGGAACGGATTAAGTTCAAAATTTGAGGTTCCACTGTACTATACACAAATGACCCGCACATGAAAGAGAGAAGCTTACGACGACGTTTCGGTCCGACTTGGACCATTGACAAAGTGTGACTTTGTCAGTGGTCCAAGTCGGACCGAAACGTCGTCGTAAGCTTCTCTATTTTATGTGCGGGTTATTTGTGTATCATTCCAGTCACGGTATTGTGCCTTTTTTTTGTTATTTCCACTGTACTATATTTTTAAATGTTTATGCAGTAGTGTACTGTATACAGTACACCGTCTGTATTGTATACAGTACACCATCTGTATTGTATACAGTACACCGTCTGTATTGTATACAGTACACCAACTGTACTGTATACAGTTGGTTTAGAAAGACACGTAAGCAAACACTATGACATATTTATTAGAAAATTTTTCGGTCCTGGGACCTTGATCACTTCTAACATACAGAGGTAGAAAGACATTATATACCTAGGCGGAGAGTGAGGTGCGACGCACGCGACCTGAGGAATGTCACAAGAACACAAGAATGGAGGAACACTGTAGAAGGCCCACTGGCCCATGCGAGGGAGGTCTTTATCAAAACAACCTCTACCTATGATGAGGACGGGTAGACGATGAAATCATGTGACTCCTGTGTTGTTGGGTTGGTGCTGCTTAAGTATCATGTATGCCAATGTTTTTGAAATTTTGCAGTTTCCAGTGTTGCGTTCTATAGTGTCGGTGACTGCGATTAGTGAGGCTTCTAGGCACCGTCGGCGTCTGAGGTCTGGTTCGGTGAGAACGAGTTGTGCCTCATTCCAGTTCATCAAATGCCCCATGGAGTCTATGTGGAGGACACAGGCGTACCTTACATCGTCTCTGTTAGAGGCATTTCGATGCTCATTCAGGCGGACTGCAAGATCTCTGCCTGTCTGCCTACATATTTCTTGGGACAGAACCCACAGGGGATAGTGTAGATGCCTGCTGTAGAAGTTAGAGGTGTGGGGCTGCGTTTCGTAGTGAGGTCTTTGATAGATGATGTGTTTATGGTGGAAACGTTGATGTTACTCATAGCAAGTGCCCGGCAAGCATTTGTGGCAACATCGCCACATGGGAGTACTGTGAACTGCTTAGGGGGCTGTTCCATGGGCGGTTTGTTGAGGATAGCTTGTGCCTTGAGTCTGCAATATCGGATGAAGAAAGATGGGAACTGAAGACGTGTAAAGGCTTGTGTTATGTAAGTGCATTCTTCTTCTAGAAAACAAGGGCTGGAGATGCGAAGAGCTCTCAAGAAGGAGCCAATGAGGATTCCTCTCTTAGTGCGGGTGTCTTGGTGTGAATAAAAGTGTATAAGATCGTCCTTGTTGGTAGGTTTTCTATACACTTTGAAGAGAAGTTTGTCACTGTCGGGAGATCTGCACAGTAGAACGTCGAGGAAAGGAAGTTTGCCATCATTTTCGAGTTCAAGTGTAAACTTTATTGATGGTTCAACTGCATTGATCCTGTTGAGAAGGGCCTGGATATTGAGATGTCTCGGATAGAAAACCAATATATCATCAATGTATCTTAGCCAGATTGATGAAATCTAGTGGAAATTTGTGTTAATTTCAACTTCTTCAAGTATCAGGACCACTGTTACAAACAGTGCTTTTGGGATGGCAATGGGCAGCCCACTCAGTGCTGTGCTTGCCAACCTTTCATGGAAAACCTGGAGACAGAGAAATTCAGCACCCTCATTCCCAACACCGTTACCTGGCTAAAATACGTTGATGATACATTGGTTTTCTATCCGAGACGTCTCAATATCCAGGCCCTTCTCAACAAGATCAATGCAGTTGAACCATCAATAAAGTTTACACTTGAACTCGAAAATGATGGCAAACTTCCTTTCCTCGACGTTCTACTGTGCAGATCTCCCGACAGTGACAAACTTCTCTTCAAAGTGTATAGAAAACCTACCAACAAGGACGATCTTATACACTTTTATTCACACCAAGACACCCGCACTAAGAGAGGAATCCTCATTGGCTCCTTCTTGAGAGCTCTTCGCATCTCCAGCCCTTGTTTTCTAGAAGAAGAATGCACTTACATAACACAAGCCTTTACACGTCTTCAGTTCCCATCTTTCTTCATCCGAGATTGCAGACTCAAGGCACAAGCTATCCTCAACAAACTGCCCATGGAACAGCCCCCTAAGCAGTTCATAGTACTCCCATGTGGCGATGTTGCCACGAATACTCGCCGGGCACTTGCTATGAGTAACATCAACGTTTCCACCATAAACACATCATCTATCAAAGACCTCACTACGAAACGCAGCCCCACACCTCTAACTTCTACAGTAGGCGTCTACACTATCCCCTGTGGGTTCTGTCCCAAGAAATATGCAGGCGAGACAGGCAGAGATCTTGCAGTCTGCCTGAATGAGCATCGAAATGCCTCTAACAGAGACGATGTAAGGTACGCCTGTGTCCTCCACAGAAACTCCACGGGGCATTTGATGAACTGGAATGAGGCACAACTCGTTCTCACCGAACCAGACCTCAGATGCCGACGGTGCCTAGAAGCCTCACTAATCGCCGTCACCGACACTATAGAACACAACACTGGAAACTGCAAAATTTCAAAAACATTGGCATACATGATACTTAAGCAGCTCCAACCCAACAACACAGGAGTCACATGATTTCATCGTCTACCCGTCCTCATCATAGGTAGAGGTTGTTTTGATAAGGACCTGCCTCGCATGGGCCAGTGGGCCTTCTACAGTGTTCCTCCATTCTTGTGTTCTTGTGACATTCCTCAGGTCGCGTGCGTCGCACCTCACTCTCCGCCTATGTATATAATGTCTTTCTACCTCTGTATGTTAGAAGTGATCAAGGTCCCAGGACCGAAACGTTTTCTAATAAATATGTCATAGTGTTTGCTTACGTGTCTTTCTAAACCAACTTTATTGGTATCTATTACCAAGGTTTATACCACTGTATACAGTACACCGACTGTACTGTATACAGTACACTGGCTGTGCTGTATACAGTACACCAACTGTACTGTATACAGTACATCGACTGTACTGTATACCGACAGTTGTTGAACAGGTAGGTCGTTAAGTGAGGGATGCCTGTATTTGTATTGTATATGCAATTATAAATTTACTGTAGCCTATACATATTAGGAATTTGAACCCCTGGAATTTGGGAATTTAACTGCTAAGTACAGTGGACCCCCGGTTAACGATATTTTTTCACTCCGTAAGTATGTTCAGGTGCCAGTACTGACCGAATTTATTCCCATAAGGAATATTGTGAAGTAGATTAGTCCATTTCAGACCCCCAAACATACACGTACAAACGCACTTACATAAATACACTTACATAATTGGTTGCATTCGGAGGTAATCGTTATGCGGGGGTCCACTGTATACTGTTTGACAGTGCTCCTTAGTGTTTTGGTTTTAAAGGTAGATTTAATGTTGCATAATTTATAATATTTTCAGGTTGTGTTACTGTATACAAATTTCCTAGAGTTGATGCTCCAGACGACCCTCTGCCTGAGTCGGTCAGCATCAAACATCTCAAGCACAATGATGAGATAAAAACTGAAGGTGCAACTCTTGTGTAAGGGTACACTTATTATATACTGTGCTAGATTAATCATTTTTTAATGTTTATTATCTTTTCTGTGTTATTAAGTGTTATAATTTTCCATTAAGGAATACTGTAGGTATCATATACAATCAAATGCCTACAGTGCATCATTCCAAGCTCAAGCAGTTGACGCCTTCAACTCGCACCTATTTTCGACTAGCACAGATAACCTGCACATAGCAGAATGAAACTTAAGACAATGATTGGTCATGGTATCTTGCATCCCAGTAATTGGCTCAAGACCTTTTAAAACCCAATAACACAGACAGGGAAGTGTAGGGAGGGCCTTATCCCTCCTTAGGAGAATTGACAAGAATTTATTATTTCCACTACTTTGAGCCAGATTTCAAGCTACTTCTGGTCCTGTAACCACCCAAAATCATCTCTGTTATGTCTTTCATTGTATCAAATGATACCAAAAAACAGTCAATAAATTCATAAAAACCATCCTTGACAACACATCTCACAGTTGCTATTTTAAACCAAACACATGGTCAGTTATGCTTTTCCTGTCGTGCAGCACATTGGGCAGGATTTTTTTTTAAACTGTGCACACTCACTGAACAGACCCATTCTCTCATACCTAGGCTTCCAAGTGTCAGCATTGAAATATCTTACTTAGAAAAAGTAGAAAAGTGTTCAGATCATCATTGAACTGTGTAGGTGCCGAGTTGCAAGTTTTATGTTAAAAATTGTGGGGTATTATTTACTGTAAGATAACTTGAGAATGCCTCTTCAGAATAACAACATTAAAGACTGATGAATCTGTCCTGGAGAAATATTAATTATAGTTTTAAATTGTGTGGGTGCAGATTTACCAACTTTCTCAGTTAATAATAATATTATTATTACATTCATGTGGGGCAGGGAAGCACTAAACCCATAGGGTCATACAGTGCCTGGGAAGAATGAATGCCATTCAGGCTTGATTAAAGGAAGTGGAGCATTAGTCCAATTCCTTTGATCAGGAGCCCCTCATCAGCATCAAGGAATCTTCTTTGAGGGGGGTCACATACAGTTGACCCTTGAACAACACGGGGGTTAGGGACCCCCTTGCCCCCTACAGTCAAGAATCCTCATTTAATTTTTGACTCCTCAAAAACTTTAATTACTAATAGCTTACTGTTGACTACAAACCTTACCAATAACATAAACAGTCAGTTAACATGTTTTTGTATGTTATATGTAATATGTACTGTATTCTTAAATACAGTAAGCTAGAGAAAAGAAAATGTTATTAAGAAAATCATAAGGAAGAGAAAATACATATACTGGACTGTATTTATAGATACCGTAAGTTTACATTGTCTGTTTACGAGATGAATCATTTGTCTGTCAGTACCTACATCAATTTTGTTTTATATGATGCAACACGCTGTAGCTGTTACACATATTGCTATCACTAGATATCAAGAATGAAAAGATAATGTGAAAGAGAAATTCATATTTATTTACAGGTATATCTGTTCAGACAGATATCCTTTCTCCTCAGTGATTTTCTTAAGTGCATCTGGGAACTTGTCTGCTGCTTCCTTGTCAGCAGAAGCTCATGCAGAGATGATTAGTATCACATGGCATTTTAAGCTGATACTTGCAATACTTGAACTCACTGCAATAGCAACAGGAGGTGGCTATGAAATTATTACAGTAGTACAGTATGTACTAATTTTATGCAGTTGTGATTTATGTTTGTTTACATTCCTCTTGACTGCTAGTGGTACCATGTATGATCTGTAAGTGTTTACAGTATGTGCATAAGTTTTGATATATTTTAACTTTTTATAATAGATTTGTAAATATTTCATGGCAGTAAATGATAAAATAGACTAATATCTACATATATATTATGCATTCATGACATACCTTTTTTGATATTTCTAGGCTATGTGGTTCATTTGTGAGTTTTTTCAAATTGTCACAATTCTCAAAAAAAAAAAATTCCCAATATATTTATTGAAAAAAATCTGCATATAAGTGGACATGTGCAGTTCAAACCTGTGTTGTTCAAGGATCAACTGTAGTTATAAAATTGGGATTATTGGTTTCTTTGCAAAAGCTGAAGAATGAATCTTCTGATCAGCTTCAAACTTTCAGCACTAGTGTTTTTTGTTTTTTTGTAAAGGAAAGTTTGCATTGTTATTGGGCTATGTAAGACCTAATTTACTGATTTTATTAAAAAATCCCATATGAGTTTAGTGTTTTTTTTATGATTATGAAAATAATAAAAATTATTATTAAGAACTAAATTGTGATATTGGTATCCATTTGATAATTGGAGAATACCTCTACTGGTCGACTTCAAATGTTTAACACTACTGTACATTAGAGGAAGGTTTGGATTGGTGTTGGATTTAGCGGCCTGTTTCTTTAAAATACAGTGGAACCCCGGTTTTCGTCTAGTCCGTTTATTGTATAATTCAGCTTTCGACCACTTTTTCGCCGAAATTTTCCCCGTTTTTGTACATTTGCTCAGAAATCGTCTGTACCAGAAACGTCCATCTGCCCACAGGACATGGCCGCTCATACATTCATGACTCAGTCTGCCTCTGTTACTCGTAGAGGGTGGTAGTGATGGTGGTAGAGGGTGATAGTGATGATGGTAGAGGGTGATAGTGGTGATGGTAGAGGGTGGTAGTGATGGTGGTAGAAGTTGGTAGTGATGGTGGTAGAGTATCGTAGTGATGGTGGTAGAGGGTGGTAGTGATGGTGGCAGAGGCTGGTAGTGATGGTGGTAGAGGGTGGTAGTGATGGTGGCAAAGGGTGGTAGTTATGGTGGTAGAGGCTGGTAGTGATGGTGGTAGAGGGTGGTAGTGATGGTGGTAGAGGGTGGTAGTGATGGTGGTAGAGGGTGATAGTGATGATGGTAGAGGGTGATAGTGGTGATGGTAGAGGGTGGTAGTGATGGTGGTAGAAGTTGGTAGTGATGGTGGTAGAGTATCGTAGTGATGGTGGTAGAGGGTGGTAGTGATGGTGGCAGAGGCTGGTAGTGATGGTGGTAGAGGGTGGTAGTGATGGTGGCAAAGGGTGGTAGTTATGGTGGTAGAGGCTGGTAGTGATGGTGGTAGAGGGTGGTAGTGATGGTGGTAGAGGGTGGTAGTGATGGTGGTAGAGATAACATCTCCCTCTCCCCTCCTCGCCGTCTTCCATACGCCAACAAGAGTCTTCAATGAAGGTAGTAGTGATTTAAATGTTCATTTATCCATTTCATTAATCATTTATATTTATTTCTCATTTTTTCTGTATGTAAAACTATAGTTATTCTCTATAAAATGTATTTTTTGTTAATATTTTTGGGTGTCTGAAACGGATTAATTGGATTTACATTATTTCTCATGGGAAATATTACTTCAGTTTTCATACTATTTTGTTTTCGTCAGACTTTTTCAAATGGATTAATCACGAAAACCGAGGTTCCACTGTAGTACACTCAGTACTGTTCCTTTCATGTGCTTTGAGGTACAAAGGTCTAGGGTTAAGGGGCATAGAGGATACCTTTTTCTTGATTGTGTAGTGAGCACAACACCTCTTGTTGTTCCACATCTTAACTTTGCATCGTGACAGATTTTCATTTCTTCATACATTTCCAACAGAGTTCATCATACTCCAGGTCATACCACAGACCATGTTGTATTGGAGCTGACTGAAGAGGGGTCAGTGTTCAGTGGTGACTGCATACTAGGTGAAGGAACAGCAGTTTTTGAAGATCTTCAGACATATATGGTTTCACTGAAGGTAATCATGAATATTTATTTATTTATTTATAATTTGAGCACACTTACAGAGGTACAAAAAAAATACAGATAAGAGCAGCATGCCAAAGCCACTTATACTATGCATAGCATTACGGGCTGGCTTAAAATTAACTTAAGATTAACTAAGCAATGATGAAATCAGTGAAAAACATTAATGTAAACTGATTACTATAAAGCACAAGTGAGTATTACAAAGACAGGTCATATGGTTGCATGCATTGTTATAAATTCAGTAGAATGGAGTATTCTGTTAGGTAGTGTATTTAAAAAATAATAAAGTTAGATTGGGTTTTAGGTTTAACATTTATGTGATATAATTGTGAGAAACATTTAAGATATACAATTTAAAGGTTCAGTTATTCAGTATTTATTTGGTTTTGGGTGGTAAGTGATCTTTGAGAAGAGACTTGAATTTTTAAACAGGTTTAGTGTTTCTTTTATATTTACAGGTAATGATTCCAGATTTTAGGGCCTTTTATGTGCATTGAGTTTTTGCATAGCGTGAGATGGACACGGGGGAATATCAAAGAGTGATCTGTGCCTTGTGTTATGGTCATTTTGTTCTGTTGAGGTTGGCAAGGAGATGTTTGAGGGGAGGTTTAATATCAAGTTGAGTGTTCTATGTATGTAATAGGTGCAGTAATAAGTATGGATGTTTTGTATGGTGAGTAGGTTGAGTGTATTGAATATTGGTGAAGTGTGCTGCCTGTAGTGAGAATTTTGTTATCATTCTAACTGCAGCCTTTTGTTGGGTAATTAGTGGTCTGAGATGGTTACTTGTTGTTGAGCCCATGCACAAATTCCATAGGTGAGATAGGGGTAAATAAGAGAGTGATATAGGCCAGGAGGGCTGATTTTGGAGATAGTACCGTATCTTCGATAGTATGCCTACAGTCTTGGAAATTTTCTTAGAAAATTTTTTGTATATGTGTATGAAATTTGAGTCTATTATCAAGGTGGATTCCTAAGAATTTTCCCTCTGTTAGCTTTGTGATAGGTGGATCCGTTTATCATTATGTTAAGAGGGACATCTTACTCTGTTTACCCAAAATGAATGAAGTAGGTTTTGTCAATGTTAAGTGTAAGTTTGTTAGTACTCATCCAGGTAGATATTTTCTGTAATTCGGTATTTACAGTATTTGGGTAGCGTGACTGGGCTCGGGTGGGAGAGCGGGATGTTGTGTCATCAGCAAAAAAGTGTGGGTTTGAGTAAAATTTAGAAGCATTTGGTAGGTCATTTATGTATAGGAGAAAGAGAAGAGGGCCAAGGACACTTCCCTGTGGGGACACCAACTGTAATTGGTTGTGCAGAAAGTTTTTCCCCATTTGCGTACACATATTGGCTTCTGTTGCTGAGGTATGACTTGAGGTAGTTTAGGGAGTGCCCTTTTATACCATAGTGTGCAATTTTACGTGGAGCAAGTCATGGTCAACTGTATCAAAGCTTTACGTAAGTCAAAGAAGATCCCCAGTGGGGCTTCTTTTTTCTCTATTGCAGTGTATATATGTTCTAGCAAGTGTATAATAGCATCATTAGTATTTTTATTAGCCCGAATCCAAATTGGCAGGGGTTGAGTATGTTTTGGAGATAAGGTAGGAGTAGATTCGTTTATGAATTAATTTTTCGAAGATTTTGAGAGAGGGTTTTAAGTTGGATATTGGCCTATAGTTATTCAACTCTGTTTGGTCTCTCCTTTGTGGATCGGGGTGACCCTTGCTATTTTGAGTACTGTAGGGAAGGGGGAGGATTCAATGGATTTTTTAAAAGAGTGTTGAAATTGATTGGTGATAGCACTTGTGACATTTTTTTTGTTTTATAAAGGGTGGTAAGGTATTTAAATCTCCTGCCTTGTTTTTTAGTGCGTTGATAATAAGGGAGACTTCGTAGGGGTTTTAGTCGGAGCTAGGAACAGTGTGTTCGGGTAGTTGCCGGTGAGGTAGTCATTTGGGTGGGGTATCTGAGCTTGGGATTTTATTGGAAAGGGTTTTTGTCCTATAGTGGAGAAGAAATCATTGAGTCTGTTTGCTGTTTCTGTTGGGGGGAGTTGGGGTTCATCTGATTTTGCTAATTTTATTTCGCTATTTCGTGATATCTTTTTTGTTCCCAGAATTTCTGATGGGTTTTCCAGGTCTTTTTTATATCACCTCGTAAGTTGGTAATCTGTTCTCATAATACCCAAATTTTTTTTCCCTTCTTATCAGGCTGGTTAGGATTTACGAGTAACGTTTTTTTTGGTCTCTGGTTATGTGACCCATTCTGTACTGTTTTTCATATTGGTGTTTTGTATTTATGGATTTGAGAATGCTGGGTGTTAGCCAGGGACTGTTCAGTCTCTTAGCTGTCATCTGCTTAGTTTTTTTAGGGCAGTGCTTGTTATAGAGGTATTGAGTCTTTTTTAGAAAATTATTAATACATTCGTCAATATCTGTATTGATTTCTAGCTCAGTGTGCCAGTCAATGTTTGCTACTGCTGTTGTGAAGTTATTAATGGCTGCCTCATTGTGAAGTCTGAAGGTGACTTTAGTAGTGTCTTGGGGTAATTTACCAAGAGTTGTTATGAGGAAAGTAGGGTAGTGGTCTGTGGTATTATCTGTAATTATGCCTGATTTTAAAGGGGATATGGTGTTGGTCCAGATGTGGTCAAGTAGGGAAACACTAGTCTCTGTAACTCTTGTAGGTTTTGTTACTGTTGGTAGCAACATACAGTTACTCATTGTGTTTGTGAATTCAGTAACGTGTGGGTCCTGGTCTTGCAGGAGATTTATATTGAAGTCACCTGAGAGTAGTAAGTGATCTTTGTTCATGCGTGCATCAGTTATCATACTTCCTAGGTTTTGACTAAATTGGCTAATGTTTGTAATAATTTACTGAAAATAAATATAACTTTTATTTCATATTTAATTATACAGGTACAACACAAATTTACCAGCAGTGGATCATATGGTACTTCTTTTAGTCCAGACAGAATTACAAGACTACTTTTTTCCAAAATACATGTAGTTTACTTTACAGCCCAAGATGGCCTTGTATAAAGTATGTGCTCACTTACATTGTTTGCACTGTAGTTGCTGAGGTGATCCCTTGATTTTGTGCAATTCTTTGCACATTTTGCTAACAGTTAACTTCAGCTATGGCTAGTAATTAGTTCTGCAGCTCCAGTAAAATTCTAAAATTTACCACTTTGGGAATGGTAGTGCTGCAACATTGTAATTACAATAATAAATAAACCTGTTTTAGTTATGCTAATGTTTAAGTTTCCAGCAGACCATGGATCAGAGGTGTATTGCTGAATTATTATTATATGACCTCTGCTGGTCTGACAAAATCAATACAGTGGACCCCCGCATACCGTCGGCATCACATAACGTTTAATCCGCATACCGCTCGCTTTTACCGCAAAAAATTTGCCTCTCATACCACTCAAAAACCCGCTCACCGCTGTTCGTCCGAGACGCGTCCAATGTGCGTCCTTAGCCAGCCTCACATGTGCCGCCGGTGGCATTGTTTACCAGCCAGCCTCCGCGGTAACATCCAAGCATACAATCGGAACATTTCGTATTATTACAGTGTTTTTGGTGATTTTATCTGCAAAATAAGTGACCATGGGCCCCAAGAAAGCTTCTAGTGCCAACCCTACAGCAATAAGGGTGAGAATTACTATAGGGATGAAGAAAAAGATCATTGATAAGTATGAAAGTGGAGTGCGTGTCTCCGAGCTGGCCAGGTTGTATAATAAACCCCAATCAACCATCGCTACTATTGGTGGTACAGCTGCTGCTGCTACTGTACCACCGTCAGCTGCTGCTGCTGCTGCTGTACCACCGTCAGCTGCTGCTGTAGTACCGTCTGCTGCTGCTGTAGCATCGTCTGCTGCTGCTGTAGCACTGTCAGCTGCTGCTGCTGCTGTAGCACTGTCAGCTGCTGCTGCTGCTGCTGTAGCACTGTTGTTGGTGTGGCTTATTGAGAATACCAAGAAACAATTAACCCCAGAGGATTTGCCACCCAGGATAACCCAAAAAAGTCAGTGTCATCGAAGACTGTCTAACTTATTTCCATTGGGGTCCTTAATCTTGTCTCCCAGGATGCAACCCACACTAGTCGACTAACACCCAGGTGAACAGGAAAAAATGCCTGGAACTAGTGCTCATATTGGTGAATTTAAAGCCAGCAAAGGTTGGTTTGAGAGATTTAAGAATCGTAGTGGCATACACAGTGTGATAAGGCCTGTTCTGGAAGAAAATGCCAAACAGGACCTACAGTACTCAGGAGGAAAAGGCACTCCCAGGACACAGTGTCTCATCAGTCATTGCTGCATCTTCAATAAAGGTAAGTGTCATTTATTCTTCATTTAGTAGAGTAGTACATGCACAATATATATTGTGCATGTACTACTCTATTATTGTGCATGTATCCTTCTCTTTGTGTGTAGGAAAATGTATATTTCATGTGGTAAATTTTTTTTTTTCATACTTTTGGGTGTCTTGCACGGATTAATTTGATTTCCATTATTTCTTATGGGGAAAATTCATTCGCATACCGATCATTTCGCATAACAATGAGCCCTCTTGCACGGATTAAAGTCGCTATGCGGGGGTCCACTGTATACAGTACCTGGAAATCAGTGTTTACCTGTGCCAATAATAATAACAATAATAATATAACATTATTTTATCAGAAAAATCATTCAAATGATAGTTTTTTGAAAATGCCATATGCACACTATTTCAGGCAGACTTAAACTAAGACTAAAACTATTGGGGAAAAAAAAAATACACGAGTGTGGTGTTTTACCCTATCAGTTTAATACAAAGTGTTGACACAAGACAAGAGAATATAGTATATTACTATTTTAATAAACAGTAAGTGCTAAACCACCAGGGTCACACAGCTCTGTAGAGAATATATAAATACAGGTCTGCCACCACAAATCCGGCAATCAGTTATTCAGCACTAATTTCGGCTAGCATAATTTCAAATTTCTAGGGTCGCCACACCAACCTGCTGGTACTGTTTGGTGGCGCTACTTGCTGTATAAGTCTTTCCAATTTCTTTTTCTCCATTTATTGTTATAACCTGCTTACTTTTAGCCCTAGCCATGGTTCCAATGAATAAAAGAAATGCTTCTCGTTGTGTAAAGCACCTACACAGTACATTGTCCATTAAAGATAAAGTGGCTTTTAAGCCACTGTCAGTTGCCATGAGCTCAGGCTCGTGATGCAGGAGAATATGCTTTATTATTACACTGATATCAACACCAGCTTATTTGCCTATCACAATTGATCTAATATGACATAATAAACAATATAAATAACATAAAAACATGTTAAATACAGTGGAACCTCAAAAATCGAACTGCTCCCAACACAACCAATTATGCAAGTGTATTTTTGTAAGTGCTTTTATAAGTGTATTTTTGAGGGTCTGAAATGGACTAATCTAATTTACATTATTCCTGATGGGAATAAATTTATTAGGTAAAGGCACTCAAACAGCCTTCTGGACTGAAGAAAGTTCGATATTTGAGGTTCCACTGTACTCCAGAATGAATAATATATGGCATAGTACTGAGCAGTTCGACGGAGATATGAGGAGGATATGGGATAAAAGTACCATTCTCCTATCCCTGTCTTGGGGGCTTATATTAGAGAAAACAGATTATAGCACAGGGCTAACTGTGATATACACTAGTACTGCACCATAAAACTGAAACAAAAAAGCTATTTTCTCTACACAGATTATCACACATAGCAGCATATGTGGAGAACCTAGGATAATCCAAAAAAGTCAGACAGAGTGGCTTATTTCTAGTACCTGGCTTGGGCTAGCCATATATGATTTTTGGTAAATTTTCGATTCCCAGCCAGCGTAGAAACATGGGCGTGTTTCTTTGCACCTGTTGTCTATGTTCACCCATCAGTAAATGGGTACTGGGGTGTTAGTGGACTGGTGTGGGTGTTATCCTGGGACACTGACCTAATTTGCTTGAAATGCTTGGCATAACAAGGGGCTTTCTGTATAGTAGTACGTCACTGATGTCAGCTAGGCCTGTATACCATGTACATATATGTGTAGTAAATAAAGATAATATTATTATTATTATTATTATTATTATTATTATTTATTATTATTTTCTCTCAGTTGTTTGTTGGGCTATCTTATTAAAATTTGGGCAATGTATGATGGAAAGATGCTTCTTAACGTACACCAAAAATGGAAGAAATCAGACCATAAATAGCGGAGCTCACTTCTCAGCCATTAGCGGCCCAATGGCGGTATGTTTTTGTATGGTTTTTGTGGTTGTATTCTCGGTTTTTTTTTGTTTCATTTGATAGAATGGAAGATATATTACAGAAATAAATATGATTTTGATTGGTTTCACGATGAAAAGTGTGGACCCTCGAATTTAGTAGTACATTTTCTGTATGCAAAACTATTGTTATTCTCTATAAAATGTATTTTTTGTTAATATTTTTGGGTGTCTGGAATGGTTTAATTGGATTAACATTATTTCTTATGGGAAATATTAACAAAAAATACATTTTATAGAGAATAACAATAGTTTTGCATACAGAAAAGGGACTACTAAATTCGAGGGTCCACGTACCTTGAAATTGCGCTCACAGTAGCGGAAATCTTCTATTCTTTAGCGATGTTCAAGAGTAGACAAATGACATCACTGTCCAATACCTGTCTGCTTGCCAGTCCAAATTCCAATACGCAGTCAAGAATGGGTTGACATTATTTATACAATTATTACAATAATGCAGTAGTCTGCATAACAGTAAATCTTCTATTTTTTGTATGAATAAAAATTCCAAATGGTAAGCAAGAGTAATATAAGAGGGGCCTGGAACCATGACTGATAAACAGAGAAAATGTTATTTTAGTGCCAGGAATGTCTGCATTGTTTATTCTGGACCCTATTTTGAAATTGGCATCTGTTGAAATTTGTGTGAAATTGGCCAAATTGCCAATTTCTGACCACTTTATTGGGTGGTTGAAATAGGTGAATGAGTGGTTTCTTGTACTCAGTCGACAGAATAGAAGTAAGTTTATTCAGGTATACACAAATACAGTTATGTAGATTATCATACATAGCAGCGTATGTGTAGAGAACCTAGGATAACCCAAAAAAGTCAGACGAAGTGAGTTATTTCCAGTACCTGGCTTGGGCTTGCCGTATATGATTTTTAGTAATGTATGAGACTATAGTTGTACCAACACTCTTGTATGGGTGTGAAGCATGGGTGATGAATGTTACAAAGAGGAGAAGGCTGGAGGCAATGGAGATGTCATGTCTGAGGGCAATGTGTGGTGTGAATATTAATAATGCAGAAAATTTGTAGTTCGAAAATTAGGAGAAGGTGTAGGATTACCAAAACTATTATCCAGAGGGCTGAGGAGGGGTTGTTGAGGTGGTTCGGACATGTAGAGAGAATGGAAGAAAACAGAATGACTTAGAGAGTGTATAAATCTGTAGTGGAGGGAAGGCGGGGTAGGGGTTGGCCTAGGAAGGGTTAGAGGGAGGGGGTAAAGGAGGTTTTGTGTGCGAGGGGCTTGGACTTCCAGCAAGCGTGCATGAGCGTATTTGATAGGAGTGAATGGAGACAAATGGTTTTTAATACTCGACATGCTGTTGGAGCGTGAGCAAAGTAACATTTATGAAGGGATTCAGGGAAACCGGCAGACTGGACTTGAGTCCTGGAGATGGGAAGTACAGTGTCTACACTCTGAAGGAGGGGTGTTAATGTTGCAGTTTTATAACTGAAATGTAAAGTACCCCTCTGGCACGACAGTGATGGAGTGAATGATGATGAAAGTTTTTCTTTTTCGGGCCACTCTGCCTTGGTGGGAATAGGCCAATGTGTTAATAAAAAAAAAAATTCTCAGTTGTTTGTTGGGCTATCTTATTGAAACTTGGGCAATATATGATGAAAAGATGCTTCTTAACATGCACCAAAAATGAAAAAATGGACAATAAGTAAGGGAATTCACTTCTCAGCCATTAGCTGCCTCTTTGCGGTATATTTTCGTATGGTTTTTATGGTTGTATTCTCGTTTTTTTTGTCTCATTTGATAGAATGGAAGATACATTACAGAAATAGATATGATTTTGATTGGTTTCACGACAAAAAGCACCTTGAAATTGAGCTCAAAGTAGCAGAAATGCTCGATTTTTGCCAATGTTCAGTGAACTTAGTGTAAGTCAAGTTCATTAATTTTATTAAGTGTATTCTAACCTAATCACTCAGTAATCCAGCAAACTCAGTAATCCGGCACACTACAGGTCCCAGTGATGCTGGATTTGTGATGGAGGACCTGTATAATAGTATAATTTTTAGTTAGAGCCATTTAGGTTTATTTTTACTTTAATTGGGCTGGTTATTTTTTCTTTACAGTTAATCTTGGAACTGCAACCAAAGGTGATCTATCCTGGTCATGGGCCAATGATAGATGATCCTGTGGTCAAAATTCAGCATTATATTGCCCATCGCATTCAAAGGGAGAACCAAATCCTGAAAGTTCTTAATGACAGTCTGGTGAAATATATGTTACCCATGGAAATAGTCAAGCTTATTTACAAGGTCAGTATAATATTGCACAACAGACATGGTATGCAGGAGGGCCCTGCTTATACAGCAGGTTAGGTTCCGGGCTACTGCTGTAAAGCCAAAATCACTGTAGAGTGAAACATAGTCTTTTTTCACTTTTGAATGCAAGTAAAAGCCTGATAACATGTTTACACTATCATATATTAAGTGAGCAATAGAGCTAGGCATAAAAAATGCATATATAGTACACACATTACTTACCTTAAAATATTTTCATACTTAGCTTATAGTGAGTGGTGAATATATTTATTGTAGGAACTCTGAATAAATGAAGAATGGGTATAATTGAAAACCGCTGCATTAGTGAAACACTGTAAACCAGGGCCCTCCCGTATATCTGCTAATTAAAACACGGGTATACCTTTATATAAATTGACTCTTCCCAAACTCTGTTGAACTGACAGGGATAACTTTTATGGACCTCTTTATATGTTTATCTAACCCACTGCAGTTTGATCCAACTCAGGCTAGGCAGGGTACTCACTTTATTTTGGCTTGGTGCAAAACCCCCTAAATAAAACCTAAGTAAAGGATGTCCTTGAAAATGGACTCATTGGACTTCCCATATCCAAAGCTCATTTGTTTTATTTAACCTTTTCCAGTGTATATATTAGATCAGAGAGATGATTAAAAAAGATACAAATCAAAACAAAAAGAATAATCACATCAACCATGGTTCTTTTGATTATTTTATTCTAAAAATGGGGGTTTTCTCTGGTTCACCCATATAAAAATATTTTTAATATAGTTTAGAGTAGTCTTTCAATTAAATATGCTTACTTTTACATACTTCTTCATCATGTATTGGAAATAATTGAAGGTGTGCCTTTTAACCCTTTGACTGTTTCGGTTGTATATATACATCTTACGAGCCACAGTCAGCGCTGAATAGCCCTTGTGGCTTAGCGCTTCTTTTTGATTATAATAATAATACGAGCCACAGTGTTTGACGTATATGCTCATAAATTCTAGTGGCTTCAAATCAAGCAGGAGAAAGCTGGTAGGCTCACATGTGAGAGAATGGGTCTGTGTGGTCAGTGTGCACCATATAAAAAAAATCCTGCAGCAGGCAGTGCATAATGAGAAAAAAAAAAAAACTCCGACTTTTTTTTTTAATCAAAATGCCGAATTTGTGGTCTATTTTTGTATAGTATTTATGGTTGTATTCTCGTTTTCTTGGTCTCATTTGATAGAATGGAAGACATATTGTAGAAATAGAGGTGATTTTGATTGGTTTTACTATGAAAAGAACCTTGAAATGGAGCTCAAAATAGGGGAAATGTTTGATTTTTGCTGATGTTCAAAAGTAAACAAATGATGTCATTGTCCAATAAATGTCCAAGTAGCCATTCTAATATACAGTCATAAATGGGTTGATGTTATTTATACAATTATTACAATATTGCAGTAGTCTGATTAACAGTAAATCTTCTATTTTTTGTTTGAATAAAAATTCAAAATAGAAAGCAAGAGTAATATCAGAGGGGCCTGGAGACATGACTGATGAACAAAGAAAATGTTATTTTAGAGCCAGGAACATCTGCTTTGTTCATTCTGGACCATATTTTTGAAATTGTCATATTTTTTAATTTTCGTGAAATTGGCCAAATTGCAAATTTCTGACCACGTTATTGGGTAGTTGAAATCAGTAAATGGGCAGTTTCTTGTACTCAGTCAACAGAAAAAATGGAGTTCTAAAGAAATAGCTATGAGTTTGCTCGACTGGAACAACGGAATTAGCGGAATATAGGGCTCAAAGTGGGCGAAATTGCCAATTCGTAAATATCGCCGAGGTCGCTAACTTCAAGAGAGCGTAATTCCGTCAGTTTTCCATCAAATTTAATTCTTTCGGTGTCATACAATCGAGAAAAGATTCTCTATCTCTTCATAAGTTTTTTTTTTTTTTTTTTTTCTTTCTTTCAGAAATTTTGTGACACCAGGAGACACCTCAGGATTTGGGGTTGCGACAGTCAAGGGGTTAACTGTAGCGAGTAATCACCACATTCATTTTAAGCCAATATAATTACTGTAGCAAAATCAGATAATTAGTGACTTATTTCTTTATTGTTTCATCCTTTATGAATCTCGAATTTTGTCATGCTCATTTTAGCAAGAGAGTTTGTCATATACTTTTGAATGCTTGTGGTTTCCTGTGTAAGCTTAGATCTTGCCTATATAATAATAATATATTCATTTTATGTGCTAAGCCTGTAGGTGTTATCTAAAACACTGAGCATAATATGGGCATTGTAAAAATGCTACCGTATATATGACGGTGGGATACGACTGGTTTGTTGAAAGAAAAAAATATACAACAGCAAGTAATAATGGTGGTGGTAGTAGTACTGGGAGTAAAGTACTAGTAGAAATAGTAGTAATAGAAACAGTAACAATGGTGGGTAGGCAATGACAAGCTGACAAAACAGAAACTGTAGCAGTAGCAAAGATGTTTCACCCAAGGCTGAGAACTCAGAGGTCAAGCTTAGAGAGTGGTCAAGAGTGAGGTCAGGTATATGCAAGGTCGAGTATTGATGAGGTTTATTAGGCAAATCATGGATAATGTGGGAAATAGGTTTATCCAATACAGTAGAATCTCACATTTCACGTGGGATACTTTCTGTAAACCACAGCTTTATGTGAAATATATGGCAGGAAAAGTATATTTTTCTGTGCCTGAAGAGAAGTTGCTAAGGTTGGTGGATGAATTTGGGAGGGAATGTAAAAGAAAGAAATTTAAAGTGAACATAGAAAAGAGCAAGGTGATGAGCGTAACAAAAAGTAATGAAAGATTAGATATCAGATTGGAAAGAGGTAGTATGGAGGAAGTGAATGTGTTCAAATATTTGGGAGGGGACCTGTTGGTGGATAGGTCTATGAAATTATTATAATAATCAATAGGAAGTGCTAAACCTACCAAGATCTGGGTCTATGAAAAACGAGGTGAATCATAGAATTATTCTGGGTCTATGAAAGACAAGGTGGATCGTAGAATTAATGAAGGCAGAAAGGTGGGTAATGCATCGAGGCAAAATGAGGAATGTATGAGAGTATAGTGGTATCAACACACTTATATGGGTGTGAAGCATGGGTGGTGAATGTTGCAAAAGAGGAGGAGGAGGAGGCTGAAGGCAGTGGAGATGTCATCTGTGAGAGTACTGTGTGGTGTGAATATTGTGCAGAGAATTCGTGCTTTGGAGATTAAGAGGAGGTGTGGGGTTACTAAAGTATTATCCAGAGGGTTGAGTAAGAGTTGTTGAAGTAGTTTGGACATTTTACCCATAAACAGTCCAAACGTATATATACGTTTTCTTGCCCAGCACCCCAAATATTTTGAAAAAAAAAAAAAAAATATATAGAAATAAAGAGTGCATTTTTCTAAGTGTTATAGCATAAAAAAAAAAATTTAGGGTCAGTACTTACCGAGATATGAGGCCACGACGTTGGCACTGGATGCTCACCTGATGGCAACATTCAGTCCTGGTACTTGCAGAAGTGTTGCCGATATGCCTTTTTTCTTGTTTTTATATTATTTTACATAACTTTTATGTTCTAATTACAATTTATAGTAGTTCTTGTGATTTCATAGCCAATCTTTGTTCCGGCACTAATATTAGGTACTCAGATTGTCACAAACACACTGACTGGTGAACATTTACACCTGCCTTGGTCATTTACTATTGTCTAGGAATATATAGAAAGCATTTATAGGTCCCAGCAATGTTTTGGATATGTGGGAGTATATAATAATGATGATAAGTTCCCTTGAAGCATGATGTAAGACAAGTGTTAATCCACTGCTGACAGTGCAGTGGTGACATTTGACGAGCGTCCACGGCCCTTGCTTTATTTGTTTTCACTGTTACACAAACATGTCTGTCTGTCTAGCTCTCCATCTGCCTGTATAGCTGTCTGTTTATCCCTGTCTCTGCTTATCTGCCTGTATAGCTGTCTTGTTTATCTCTGTCTCTGCTTATCTGTCTGCTTCTCTCTCTTTGTCTCAGAGAGAGCCACTCATGAACCAACAGGTATTACACACTACTGTGTCGTCGTGTCTGGTTCCTGAGCAAGTGTAAATACGTATTTGCCAGTCATGCTTACACATTATATCTACAAGCACAATATAGCACTGTCTGAATTTTTTGGGTTATCCTAGGCAATTTACACTATGTATAATTGTATTTGTGTACCTGTGAGACAGAGATACAGAGAGAGACATAGATACAGACAAAGATAGAGCAAGCCAGCCAGCCAGCCTGCCGAACACGTATTCCACATTCCAGAATTGTTTCTCTTTACTTAGGGCATAGGTTATAAGACATTCTGAAAGGGTGTTGCACATGGGTTATTATCAAGGTTTTTTATATTTCCTCGATCACTTATGGCCACATCCACCTTAGAGTCACTAAACTTGGGGTCACTTTCCTCTTAAAATGGGAGTGTTAACCCTTTGAGGGTCCGTGCCGTAGATCTACGGTTATACGTTGAGGGTCCAAACCGTAAGTCTACGCCATGAGCTCAGCTCACTCTGATAAGCTGTGAGCAGTAAATTTGGGCCTAGGTATGAGAGAATACATCTATGTGGTATGTGTGCACCACATAAAACAAATCCTGCAGCACAGTGCATAATGAGAGAAAAAACTGAGACTGTAATTTTCGATTAAAACAGCGATTTTGCAGTGCTTTTTCATATGTTTTTTATAGTTGTATTTGCGATTTCTTGGTCTCATTTGATAGAATGGAAGATATATTACAGAAACAGAGATGATTTTGATTGGTTTTAGTAATGGAAATGGCTTGAAACTGAACTAAAAATAGCAGAAATGTTAAATTTTTGCCAATGTTCAAGAGTAAACAAATGATCCCACACGTCTAATTCATGCCAGCTGGTGGGTCTAATATACGTTCACAAATGTAGTGATATTATTTATACAATTATTACAGTATTGCATAACAGTAAATCTTCTATTTTTTTGGTTTGAATAAAAATTCATTATGTGAATAAAAAATCAAAATGGAATTCATTTGTAAAGCCTGAAAACATAACTAATGAACAGAGGAAATGTTAGTTTAGTGCCAGGAATGCCTGCATTGTTATTCTGGACCTTATTTTGAAACTGGAATATTCTGAACTTTGCATTAAATTGGCCAAGTTACAAATTTCTGAACACTTTATTTTGTAGTTGAAATGGTTGGCGATTTCCTGTGCTCAATCGATACAAAAGAAGTAATACTAGTGAAATAGCTAAGAATTTGGCCGACTGGAGTAATATAATCGGCCAAAAATGGGAGTCAAAGTCAGCAAAATCGCCAATGCGTAAATATCGCTGACACATCAAAATTCGCGAGAGCATAATTTCGTCAATTTTCCATCAAAATTCGCACTTTTTGTTTTATTACCTTCAGAAAAAGATTCCCTACCATTTCATAAGAAAAAATAACAAAATTATTTTTTGAAAATTCTTGGACACTGGTGTGCACTTTGAAATTGGCCTCTGGACCCTGAAAGGGTTAATACTACATGAAATCAGTGAATCCCAGGTGTGGTGTTTGCTGCTCTGTATGCTCTAACTGGCGCTCATTTGAACTGGTGCTCCCACAAGGTACTAAGTGGTCCCAGATTTTTTTTAATACTGCACACATTGAGTGTTAAGACCCATTCTATGCTGACCAGGCATCTCAGGCCACTCGTGCCAAATTTGGAGGCCGGAAAAATAAAACTGATCTATGTTTGGGGCGCTAGCGGTAAGAACGTATACATACGTTTGGACCGTTTAGGGGGTTAAAGAAAATAAAGCAAAATAGGATGACGGAGGGTGTACCAACAATAGTGGAGGGAAGGCAAGGCAGGGGTTGTCCTAGGAAACGTTAGAGACTTGGACACCCAACAGCCATGTGTGACTATGTTAGATAGGAGTGGAGGCAAGTGGTGTTTATGACTTGATGTGCTGTTGAAGTGTGAGCAATGTAACATTTATGAAGGGATTCAAGGAAACTAGTTAGCTGGACTTGAGTCCTGGAGGTGGGAAGTACATTCATTGCATGCATTCTGGAGGAGGAGTTGGGGATATTGCATTTTGGAGAGGCATCTAAACTGTAGTATCAGCACACTTCTGGCAAGATAGTGATGGTGAAAGTTTCTTTTTTGGGTCACCCTGTCTCAGTGGGAGATAGCTGGTGTTAAAAAAGATGAGTTGACACTAATCGACAATCTTCTTGAGTCTGTTGGAACAGAGGTTTGGGTGTTTTATAAAGAACATTCAGTGACATCTGCTATGGAAGCAGCTAGACTTACTGACACATTTGAGGCCAACCATTCTGTCTGAGCGGTTTCTTAACCTTTCTTCCCAATAGCTCGGTACGGAGAGATCACATGTCACAAAACACAGTAATTGCTTTTTTCTTTCTTTCTTTCCAAGAATGGACCATTAGAGTTATTGTTCTATTTTCTTATCTTGCTCCTTTGTTAGTTGTTTGAGGATGTGTGTGAGAGGGTGGCATTATTTGCTTCTCCATCTGCTCAAGATGTATTTACTCGTAATTACCACTACTACCACCAGTGTTAGTATTTGTTACTACACTACTACCATTATTACTGCAATAGGAATTCACAATTTTTTAGTTTGACCCCCTAGGTGTTGAATGTTTCCTCAAATACTGTAATATGATAATATAAACACTTAACAAAGCAAATTTTTGTAGCCATGACATATTTTTAAAAGGTTATTTTCTCTTCCAATTATCTTCAGGATACTCCTGAGCACCTACACCTAGCAGCAGAAAATAATGTGAACCATCATTTGCAGAAACTTTTCAAGGATGGTGTGATTTACAATCAAGGAAACAAGTGGTGCCTAACTAGCAGGAGAAATCATTTGTAATAAAAACATTTAAATATTAGTCAATTTAGAAATTGTTCAGTGTGCTTATTATATTCTATCTTTCAACAACAAAGTAAACCCTTAATATAATGGACTCTTATGCATACAGTACTATATTTGTTTTACAGTAGAATATTTCAATGCTTTTTTTTTTTCATCCAAACCCAAGTGGGTTTGGATGAAAAAAACATGCTGGGCATAGTTCTGTATTCCAAATCTTGAGATCTTGCATTAACAAAATCTTCATGTCATCAGAGTCCCAAGGTTTCTGGCTGTAGACTATCTTGATTATACCCTACATAATCACATGAGGTTATGTCAGACCCTAGAGATAAGTATTGGCACCTAGACAAAGCTAGACATCACCATGCTTATAAGTTGTATCTGGGTTCAGACCTGTGCACTTTGATGGAAAGTGCACAGGTTCGAATACTGCTGTGGACCGAGAGAGAATGTTTGTAAATAATTTTGTGAATTGTTTGTTAAGCATTCCAAAGTCTCTTTTGAAGTTCACTGCATGTGGCAGGATTTGATGAAATAACTTATCACAAGCCTGATGCTATGGGGTGTGTTTTCCACCATCTAGCTTCAGCTAGGCACCTGTACTTATAACTGGGGTCTGGCTGTGTGGATCAAGTATTGTGTATTTTGATGCAGTGTGTGTAGGTTCAGATTCTGCTATGACCTAGAGATGTATGTATGTATGTGTGCCTGCCTCAGTGGGAGACTGCCAGAGATTTTTTTTTTTTTTAACAAGTCGGCCGTCTCCCACAGAGGCAGGGTGACCCAAAAAGAAAGAAAATCCCCAAAAAGAAAATACTTTCATCATTCAACTTTCACCTCACTCACACATAGTCACTGTTTTTGCAGAGGTGCTCAGAAATACAATAGTTTAGAAGCATATACGTATACATATGCATGTACATATATCCCTCCAAACTGCCAATATCCCAAACCCCTCCTTTAAAGTGCAGGCATTGTACTTCCCATTTCCAGAACTCAAGTCCGGCTATATAAAAATAACCGGTTTCCCTGAATCCCTTCACTAAACATTACCCTGCTCATGCCCTAACAGCTTGTCAGGTCCCAAAAACCATTCGTCTCCATTCACTCCTATCTAACACGCTCACGCACGCTTGCTGGAAGTCCGAGCCCCTTGCTCACAAAACTTCCTTTACCCCCTCCCTCCAACACTTTCAAGGATGACCCCTACCCCACCTTCCTTCCCCTAGAGATTTATATGCTCTCCAAGTCATTCTTCTTTGATCCATTCTCTCTATGTGACCAAACCACCTCAATAATCCCTCTTCAGCCCTCTTGACCAATACCTTTAGTAACTCCACACCAATTAATTTCCACACTATGAATGCATATTTACACCACACACTGCCCTGTAGGATTATACAGAACCTGTGGGGAGGATGTGGAAGGTATTCCAACTTAATTCAGGGAACTGGAGCACAGATCCAATTCCCTATTATTATTATTATAATCAAAAAGAAGCACTAAGCCACAAGGGCTATACAGTGCTGCAGGGTAGGGAAGGAAGCGAGGGTATCAGGCGGCAGAAGGGGGGAGGGATGAATAGTAGGCTACAGAAAACAGCGGGGCAGGGGATAGTGCGGGGGTAGAGGGTAGCAAGAGATGAAGGTAGAAAGGGCTGAAGGTATCATCATAGTTTGTGGAGTAAGTCAGTTATTGTCAAAAAGTGAATGAGAGAGTCGGGATGAAAGGTGGGTCCATCAGCGAGAAGGGAAGGTAAAGAGAGAGCAGCGGAGCAAAGACGACGACGGAGGTAAATTCTGCGTGCTCGTTGATAAAGTGGGCAGTCTAACAGAATGTGGCTGACCAATAAAGGAACCTGACAATTCTCACAGAGAGGAGCAGGGCGTCTCTCCATGAGATATCCATGAGCAAGACGAGTATGGCCAATGCGAAGGCGGGAGAGAGAGTCGTCTCCCAACCCCGACACTGGTGACAAGACGGCGGCCAGTAACCTATACTCGGTTTAATAGAACAAAGTTTGTTATTGAGCAGAGCAGACCAATGTTGTTGCCAATGGGTGTGAAGGTGGGTAGCTATTACAGCAAAATAGTCCGGAAATGGAACACCTCTATATGAAACTGGTAGGTCATGTACTGCTGACCGCGCAGCAGTGTCTGCCTGTTCATTGCCCTGTACGTCAACATGACCAGGGACCCAACAAAAAACGATATCTTTATGCTTGGTCGAGATACGGCGTAGCCAAAGTTGGATACGGAGAACTACGGGGTAAGGTGTATCAAATTTCTGTATAGCCTGTAGAGCACTAAGGGAGTCTGAGACAACCACAAATGATGACACAGGCATAGATGCGATACGAATAAGTGCTGCAAGAATGGCATACACTTCAGCTGTAAAAATGCTAGCCGAAGATAGTAAATGCCCTCACACGACGCTGTCCGGAAACACTGCTGTGAATCCGACGCCGTCAGAAGATTTAGAGCCATCTGTGTACACGGCAATGGCATGAGAATGAGAGTGGAAGTGGTCAAGAAAAAGAGCGGGAAGCCACCGTAGGCAGTTGGGCTTTCGAGCAAGGGAGTGAGAAAGAACAGACCTGAACAGCTGGAACTTCCCAGGGGGTAGGGAAAAGTGAGATGTTACATGAACATATAAAGGCGGTAACTGAAGGGAAGATGAGCGAATGTAGGCGAAGAGAGAAGGGACGGAGCAAACGGGCGGCGAACAAATAAAGAATGTCTACTAATATCAGTGACCATTCTATAAATGGAAGGATTGCGGAGATCGTGAGAGCGCACATAGTAGCGAAGGCAATGGGCATCATGGCGATCAGACAAGGATGGAACATTCGCTTCTGCATAGAGGCACTCAACAGGGGAAGAGCGAAAAGCACCAAGGCATAAATGTAATCCTTGGTGATGGATGGGGTTAAGGCTAGAGAGAGTAGCAGGAGAGGCCGCTGAATAGATCTGGTCACCATAATCGAGTTTCGATAAAATGAGGGCTGAATGTAGGCGAAGGAGAGTTCGACGATCAGCTCCCAATGAAAGATGAGCAAGGGTTTTAAGAAGGTTCAGCCGGCTGTGACAAGTTGCCTTTAGAGAGGTAATGTGGGGTTTCCAGGATAACCTACGGTCAAAGAGAAGGCCTAGAAACCTGACTGCATCACGTTCAGGGATACGAGAGGCATAGAGGTACAAAGGATGATTGGAGATGACAGAGCGTCTAGTGAAAGAAATTTGGTGAGTTTTGGTACTGGAAAACTTAAACCCATGCATGGTGGCCCAATTGGAAACATCATCGACCGCATGCTGGAGAGAAACTGTAATGAGGTGACAGTCAGCACCTGCACAAGCAATAGCAAAGTCATCTACATAGAGTGATGACCAAATATTGGATGGAAGAACAGAGGCCAAATCATTTATAGCAAGGAGAAAAAGTGTTGTGCTCGGAACACATCCCTGAGGGACACCTTCAGCTTAGACAAAGTCCGGGGAGAGCACATTATTGACTCAAACACGAAAATGTCTGTCAGTTAAAAAGTTCTTAAGGAAAGATGGTAGATTGCCTCGGAGGCCTAAGGAGTGGGCTTGGGCCAAAATATTATACCTCCAAGTTGTGTCATATGCCTTCTCAAGGTCAAAAAATATGGCAATAACCGAGTGGTTATTCGCAAAGGCATTACGAACATATATATCCAAACGTAGTAAGGGGTCTATGGTAGAACGGCCCTTACGAAAGCCATATTGACAAGTGGAGAGACTGTGTCTCTCTAAATACCACATTAAACGTCTATTTACCAGACGTTCTATCACTTTGCAAACTGCACTGGTAAGAGCGATGGGACGATAGTGGGAGGCTTCATGTCCCGTAGTACCTGGTTTGCGGAAAGGGAGAACAATGGCAGATTTCCACAGCTGTGGAAGAACTCCTTATGACCAAATAAGATTGAAAAGGCATAAGAGGACTGCAAGGGCTGACTGATGTAAATGTTTTAACATACGAATATGAATGTCGTCGGGCCCAGCTGTCGATGATCGGCAAGCTGAGAGTGTTGCCTCCAGTTCCTGAAGTGTAAAAGGCGCATTATACTGTTCTTCTCTGAGAGAAGAAAAGTCCAAGGGTGCTAACTCTCTGGCAGACTTTGAGGAAAGAAACGAGGGGCAGAGATGAAGCCCCAGAGAAATACGGACCAGATGATTGCCAATTTCAATGGCAACATCTAGAGGGTTTGCTATATCAACACCAGCAACCCGCAGAACAGGAGCCTGGTCAGGAGAATATTTACCACTCAGTTTCCATACTTTTTTCCAGACTGCACTCATAAAGGAAGCAAAGGTGATGGTGGAGATATAATCTCGCCAGCAAGTGTGTTCAGTGTCACGGATGACATGGCGAGTGATCGCACGCTTCTGCTTAAAATCAAGAAGTCTCTCAGTGGTTCTATTATACCGGTACCTGCCCCATCAGCGCGTTTCAAACGTACTGCACGAGCACAAGCAGGAGACCACCAAGGCACACATTTCTGAGAATGCCTGCCCGAGGTTTGGGGTATAGAATGAGAAGCTGCGGTTAAAACTGAGGGCGAGAAGAGGTGTAAAAGCTCATCAATGGAGGACGAAGAAGGAACCTCACTAAAAACAGTTAGTTGTGAGTAAAGGTCCCAATTTGCCCGATCAAATTGCCAGCGTGGGTTACGAAGAGGTGGTGAATATGAAGGGGAAGTAAGAATGATTGGAAAATGATCGCTGTCATGTAAATCCGGGAGAACAGACCAGGTGAAGTCTAGTGCAGTGAAGAGCAGACTGAGAGATCGATGCAAGAGAGAGTATGAGTATGAGGATCAAAATGGGTGTGAGTACCTGTATTTAAAACATGGAGGGGTTGGGAAGCAAGGAAAGCCTCTAGCTGAATGCCACAGGAATCACAGTGAGACCCCCCCCCCAGAGAAAATGATGGGCATTAAAATCGCCAAGTAACAGAAGTGGTGGCGGTAATGATGAAACAAGAAATGCAATATCCTGAATAGATAATGCTCGAGGAGAGAGGTACAAAGAACAGTGTGTATACCACCTATGCAGGTGGATATGGGCTGCTGTGTAATGCAGCGATGGTACGGAATATCAGTGCGTAGAAGAAGGGCACTTTTGTTAAAGGTCCCATTAGGAAAAGGATCCGAAGAACACAATAAATTATAGCCTGAGATGGGATAGATAACAGCAGAGTGTAATTTTGGTTCTTGTAAGCAAACACCAACAGGGGAAAATTGGGAGAGCAACGTCTGAAGCTCACCCCGATTACCCGAGGCCGCGTATATTCCACTGTAAATAGGCCGATTGGCAACGATAAAGATACTAGAAATCCGCAGGTAAGGGTACTTACGGACTAGAGGGGTTAGAAAAGTCCACATGCGGTGGCAGCGGAAAACGTTCAAGCAGCGAAGGAACGGTGCACTGTGAAGAAAGGAGCTGCGCAGATGGAGAAGAGGAAAGAGAAGGAACAGAGGGTGGAGCAGTGTCCATTGATGGTTTGGTCTCTACAATATACGTGTATTCAGAGATTACTTCAAGTGTTTCGGAGTTCAGAGACGTCATATGGGAGACAACATTGGAGATGGAAGGAGGAGTAGTTTGAGTAAAGATCGGAACTGTAATGGACTGTACCAAGGTAGGGGGGAGGGGGCAGAATAGGCAGAAACTTGGGAGGGGACAGGGGAGGAAGGCACAGTACGAGGAGGAGGATGAACCTCCGCACTTGTAACAGAGCCAGTGAAAGGGGAAGACCCAGGTAAAGTGTGGAGGTGGATGAAGGGAAGGAGGGGTTAAAGAAGATTTTTTGGACTTCTGAGAGGTAGAGGGACGATTGGGAGGAGGTGTCATACGAGGTCTTGTCGATACCGGGGTTTGTGAAGGAGAACACGAAGTGAGAACAGACCGAGGTGTTGAAGTAGGGACGTCCGAGCCTAGGACAGCAAAAGAATTAGATACAGGAGTGACTATAGGACCGGCAACCACAGAGGAGGCTGCAGGAGATGGGACCCCAGAAGTGGGGGGACGTTTTGAAACACGGGGTAGTCTCCTTTGGAGGCGGAGATGAGAAACCGCCATAGCATAAGGGAGACCTTCTGCCTCTCTGAGGCAACGAATTTCCCACTCATTCAAGTAGACCTGGCAACGGCCAGAGTACGAAGGGTGAGCCTCATAACAAGGCAGGAGGGAGGTCGACTGCAAGACGTATTAGAATGGTCATCGGTGCCACAGACTGGGCATTCGGCTATAGATCTGCAATATTTTGCTGGGTGGCCAATCGCCAGCAATTTCTACACTTTTGCGGTGTAGGGATCACCTTTCGAACTTGTAACCGATGTCCTGCTTCATAAACAGAGGATGGGAGTTCACGGCTGTCAAAAGTTAAACGAGCCACATTGCTAGGGTATCATCTCCGCCCGCGGGCAGAAAGAACATAAGTGTCTACCTTGAGAATTGGGAGATCCAGCTGTTCGAGAATGTCATCGCCACATGTCTGGAAATTCTGTTGGACTATGGTATGGGGCAGAATAACAGTACCACTACAAGAATTGAGGGAATGATGTTTTTCGATAGTGATAGGAATAGTATCGATATGTGAAAGAGAAAGATCATGAGCTTGGGTAGTATTCTGGACTGTGATGATGCGCGTACCACTCTTAAGAGCATGAAAAGAAATATCTCTACCAACATGGCGTAGGAGCGCTTTGCCAATACTATGGTCGGAAAGATAGGCAGTAGAAGAAGTCGGTATTAAAGAATTTAGTCCATTGTGTGGTCCGAAACCGAGTGTGGAGAGGGAGTGCATGACGTGTCGGTCTTTTCTGAGTAGAATGGGAAGGCAACGAAGTAACATCATCAGGAGATTGTCGTTGGCGTTTAGAAGTGGGACCAGAGTTGGTCCAACGTGGGATGGGCTGGCGATTCGAAAATTGCCGCACTGTAGAGGGAGAGGCCAGAAGCATAGTCAAAGGAGAGCGGAGGTCAGACAAATCGAAGGAGTCAGTCGAAACCCCGGCACCTGAAGCAGGTGACGAAACAGCACCAATAAGAGGTACAGGGGCCTTAGGAGTGTCTGAAGAGTGGCCAAAAGACAAGGCGAGGTCAGAACGGGGTGCGGTAACAATAAGGGGCCCGGGGGTAGTGGGGTCATGGATTGGGGACTCCATGGTTAGGTTACTTCTTTTTTTTGTTTTTAAGAAAAAAAAAGAAAATAAAAATAATAAAAAAAAAGAATAAAAAAAAGGGGGGAGAGGGGAGGGATAGTTCCCAGGAGGAATGAAAGGGCCATAAATCTCCCTCCGCGCCCAAGAGGACCTCAGCACCGCAAGTAGCGCAGATGCAGCATGGAACCCGTGCCACACCCTACCCTTCATGCCAGTAAACCATCAGTCCAGGATAGCAACCTCACATCTGCCGAGCTACCTCGGTGGACGAAAGAGAGGGCGGCCGGATATCCGCCACAAAGCATACCTCCTTCGGCCACCACCCCCGGAATCCGAAAGGTGGCTTCCAGAGATACACCCGTCGCCCGAAAGACACCCAAAGCCACCCTCCGGGATACAGGAGAGGGATCGGGACATCCCCAGGCGATCCAAATTCCACAGCAAACTACGCCACCGCCAAGAACCTCAACGGAACGGGATGTACGCCAGTACCCTTTCCCCTACCTAGGAACTAGCGTGCCTGTGGGAAAAATAACAAAGGCCAAAAAGAGGAAGGGCAAAAGGGAGGGGCAGGGAGGATGGGATAGGGAAGGGGGGTAATTAGGTTCAGTCTGAGGAAGGAGACCTACAGGTCTAATTCCTCAGACCAAGAGCCTCTTCACTATGCCATGGAGCCCCCCTTGAAGAGGTGTGCCACTTACTAGCCCATTACATGTTCTTGTCATCCAAACCTGTAAATTTGACCATATCAATCTCTGGATTTTATTAACCCTTCACTTTCAAATTTGCTTTTCAAAAGTTATTTTCTGTATAAAAAAAAAAAGGGGGCAATCTTATTAAAACAAATGCAGACCATTTAATATATACAGTATATTTATTATGTACATGCAAAACTGTTTGTAATTTGATATATATAATTATAAACCTCATCTTGAAAATTTTAAACTGCTGTGAGCATTGCATACAGAAATATATATATACAGTACATACTTTATACATAATACACATTCTTAACCCTTTGACTGTCGCAACCCCCAATCCTGAGGTGTCTCCTGGTGTTGCAAAATTTAAAAAAAAAAATTATTTTTTCTTATGAAATGATAATCTTTTCCCGATTGTAATGACACCAAAAAAACGAAATTTGATGGAAAACTGACGGAATTATGCTCTCGCGAAGTTAGCGACCTCGGCGTTGTTTACAAATCGGCAATTTTGCCCACTTTGAGCCCTATTTTCGGCTAATTCCATTGTTCCAGTCGCCAAAACTCATAGCTATTTCTTTTGAACTCCATTTTTTCTATCGATTGAGTACAAGAAACTGCCCATTTACCGATTTCAACTACCTAATAATGTGGTCAGAAATTTGCAATTTGGTCAATTTCACGAAAATTAAAAAATATGATAATTTCAAAATAAGGTCCAGAATGAACAATGCAGACATTCCTGGCTCTAAAATAACATTTTCTTTGCTCATCAGTCATGTCTCCAGGCCCCTCTGATATTACTCTTGCTTTCTATTTTGAATTTTTATTCAAACAAAAAATAGAAGACTTACTATTATGCAGACTACTGCAATACTGTAATAATTGTATAAATAACATCAACCCATTCATGACTGCATATTAGAATGGCTAGTTGGACATTTATTGGACAATGGCATCATTTGTTTACTTTTGAACATCGGCAAAAATCAAACATTTCCCCTACTTTGAGCTCCATTTCTAGGTTCTTTTTATAGTAAAATCAATCAAAATCACCTCTATTTCTATAATATGTTTTCCATTCTATCAAATGAGACCAAGAAAACGAGAATACAACCATAAATACTATACGAAAATAGACCACAAATTCGGCATTTTAATTAAAAAAAACGGTCGGAGTTTTTTTTTCTCATTATGCACTGCGTGCTCCAGGATTTTTTTTATATGGTGCACACTGACTGCACAGACCCATTCTCTCACAGGTGGGCCTACCAGCTTTCTCCTGCTTGATTTGAAGCCGCTAGAATTTATGAGTATATATACGTCAAACACGGTACCTCGTAAGACGTATATATACGGCCGCGACAGTCAAAGGGTTAAAAAAAAAAAAATATTAAAATTAAAAAATGCAGCTTCATGCTCTACATATACACTTTGCCACCTTATTACAGATTAATTTGCTAGTGCATTCTGGGAAGCAGCAAAATTTGCCATCCTTTCTTCGAGAACAGGGCGAAAGTGTCGAATTAATCCCTGAACAGGCCAAGCAGCACCATCACCCAAAGCACAAATTGTGTGACCTTCTATTTGCTTAGAAACCTCCCACAAGGCATCAATTTCTTCTGGATGAGCATCACCTCTCACTGTTGATGAAAAATATTAATGTGTTAATTTTAATAAAGTTATCAATTTACACTTCTCTGGCTAAGAATCAGAAGGATGAATGTTATGAATATATACCAGGTAAGCATGAAAACATTGTCAAGCCACATAATTAAAATACACAAGAACCTTTCCATTAAACCCCAGTCTGATTTATCTCAGTGACCACAGTTTCTTACTTAAATTTCATTTTTTTTTTCTTGCCCTCACACCTCTGTGGTAATCCTTTTCTTGTCCTAATATTCACAAAATGGGTCAAACCCATACAGGTCAACGCACTGCAAGGCTGACGGGAGCTATTGGCAAAAGGAAGTAATGTGAAGGGTGAAGCTAACCAAGTCAGAGTTAAAAAGTCAGGGTCTGCATTGAAGGCAAGGCTTTCTGAAAGGAGAGCAAACAAAGTGAGACACCCAGTTAGCATGCGTTTTGATAAATGGTACAATGAAAAGGCATCCAACCCTCAACAAGACTTAAAATTTCAAGAGAGGTGCCATGCATCTCTGCATGTGATAGCTGAGCGAGTCTTGTGTGGCCAATACAGTCTTGTAACAAGAGCTGCCCATATGTGACCAATGAAAAGAAGTCAACCAATTGTGGGTTCTAATACTGTTGGTAGAATTACCAACACTATGTTAGGTAAAAGGACAAGTGTGCAACTAATGTGACATTATGACAAAATGTTCCCACAAAAAAAAAAAAAAAATTAGTTGCACATATCCTTTTACCTAACAACTGTGGGTTGATTAGCTGTATAGCCCTTGTGGCTTAGCGCTTCTTTTTTATTATAATAATAATGTGGGTTGATTAATAGCTTGCTCACCAAGTTGGACTAATGACATTACAGAGACAAAATTAGAAAACTGTCTGACAAAAGCAGATCCCTGAATGAGATTGATAGATCCTAAACCAACAGAATGTACAGAAGTCAGCAAATTCACTGCCCTGAACACCAACAAAGACCTGGAACCCAGCAAAAGACAATGTCTTTATGCTTGCTTAATTAAGAGACAACACAGCCAGCTTTAAATACAAACAGCAGGATGCAATTAGTCAAACCTACAAAGAACAAGTAATCAAGAGTCAGACTACAAGGGATAAGGTTAAAAGACGCACTCCACTATTTACCGGCTTAAAAGTGTACTTATTACAGAGATTTAGCAGCTCCTTTGTGTGATATTTTTCCTCTGAACTGCCTTCTGGGATTATCTCTAATATAACATTTTTTTCTACATTCTTCCATTTTAAATGTCTTAAATTGTTGGAAGGGTAACTGGAGGTGTTACATGTGGTGTTGTCAGGGTTACCAGGGGTGCACTATGTGGCATGTTCACATCTCATTCAAATATTGTTCTTCACTGTCACAAGAATCAGCATTCAACACCCAGCCATTGACAACTGTTGACCGAGGCAATTTTACCCTTCAGTCCTACCTGCTAACCCAGTAGCTAGAAATTTTCTTTGTCCTGAAGAGGTGCCTGACAACCCAAACAAATGACCAGAAACCTACAATTGTGGTAATCAGCAAATATGAAGGCAAGAAAAATCAAGCATATGGTATACACTATACACATGAAATGGCATGTATCATACACAGTTTAAAGGATAAAGCAGTTCCATAACCTCTTTTTCGTCTGCAAATTCTATGTTCTCTTTCAATATTTGCAGTTAGAAGACATTTTATTGATTTTATATGCTTCCATATTCAGCTTTCCATGCACTAGTGTGAATTAAGGGTGCTCAGGATTTTTTCCTATTTCTCAGCAGGTTCTTCCTTACTGCCTCTTGATTTTTGCTCTCTGGTATTACCAGTACTGCATTCGAATTGCTCCTGCAACTATCGCTGATAATGAAAAAGGGAGAAATTCAAAGAAATGATGCTGTCATCTATATGACTACATTTAAAGTTCATAGCCACATATGTACATATCTGGCTTCAGTGTTCAATATTACAATTTTAAAAAATACTAAGGGAAAATAGCCCCTGAAAATACGGAGACTTAACTTCATAATTTGATGCAGCTTAGTTTGTCAAACTAACAATTACAGTATATTACTGGCCACAGAACAAGTTTTGTATATATTTTTTTACAAAACACATATGCCCAGAGTAATACCCCACTTGTATTATAAGTGCAAACCACCTAAAAAAAAATCAAAATAGTAAAAAGTATTCAGGCAAACATCACCTACTTTATAAATCACAATCATATAATTATTGTCAAGATGAAAGGTTGTGATGGCTCTTAACCCATTAACTATCCAAACTTAGATCTATGTTCTCTTCACCAGAGCTCCGATTAAAAACAAAAATTAAAGACGGCAATTTTCTGTGTAATAAGACCCCCCCAAAAAAAAAAATTTTGAGGGGAGGGCGTCAACACTTACTGAGATATAAGACCGCGAGGTTGGCGCTGGATGCTTACCTGATGGCAACATGGAGTCTTGCCACTTGCAGAAGTGTTGCCAATATACCTTTTTTCCTTTTTTTAATTACGTATATAATTTTTATGTTCTGATAATTACAATTTGTAGTAGTTCTTGTGATTTCATAGCCAATATTCGTTCTAACACTGATATTAGGTACTGAAATGGTATTCGAAGTAATATTTCAGTACCTAATGACAGGTGAACATTTTCACCTGCCTTGGTCACCTACTATTGTCTAGAAATATATTATTATTTTATTATCACACTGGCCAATTCCCACACCACACATTGCCCTCAGACATGACATCTCCACTGCCTCCAGCCTTCTCCTCGCTGCAACATTCATCACCCATGCTTCACACCCATATAAGAGCGTTGGTAAAACTATACTCTCATACATTCCCCTCTTTGCCTCCAAGGACAAAGTTCTTTTATCTCCACAGACTCCTAAGTGCACCACTCACTCTTTTCCCCTCATCAATTCTATGATTCACCTCATCTTTCATAGACCCATCCGCTGACACGTCCACTCCCAAATATCTGAATACATTCACCTCCTCCATACTCTCTCCGTCCAATCTGATATTCAATCTTTCATCACCTAATCTTTTTATCCTCATAACCTTACTCTTTCCTGTATTCACCTTTAATTTTCTTCTTTTGCACACCCTACCAAATTCATCCACCAATCTCTGCAACTTCTCTTCAGAATCTCCCAAGAGCAGTGTCATCAGCAAAGAGCAGCTGTGACAACTCCCACTTTGTGTGTGATTCTTCATCTTTTAACTCCACGCCTCTTGCCAAGACCCTCGCATTTACTTCTCTTACAACCCCATCTATAAATATATTAAACAACCACGGTGACATCACACATCCCTGTCTAAGGCCTACTTTTACTGGGAAATATAATTTCCCTCTTTCCTACATACTCTAACTTGAGCCTCACTATCCTCGTAAAAACTCTTCACTGCTTTCAGTAACCTACCTCCTACACCATACACTTGCAACATCTGCCACATTGCCCCCTATCCACCCTGTCATATGCCTTTTCCAAATCCATAAATGCCACAAAGACCTCTTTAGCCTTATATAAATACTGTTCACTTACATGTTTCACTGTAAACACCTGGTCCACACACCCCTACCTTTCCTAAAGCCTCCTTGTTCATCTGCTATCCTATTCTCCGTCTTACTCTTAATTCTTTCAATAATAACTCTACCATACACTTTACCAGGTATACTCAGCAGACTTATCCCCCTATAATTTTGCACTCTCTTTTATCCCCTTTGCCTTTATACAAAGGAACTATGCATGCTCTCTGCCAATCCCTAGGTACCTTACCCTCTTCCATACATTTATTAAATAATTGCACCAACCACTCCAAAACTATATCCCCACCTGCTTTTAACATTTCTATCTTTATCCCATCAATCCCGGCTGCCTTACCCCCTTTCATTTTACCTACTGCCTCACGAACTTCCCCCACACTCACAACTGGCTCTTCCTCACTCCTACAAGATGTTATTCCTCCTTGTCCTATACACGAAATCACAGCTTCCCTATCTTCATCAACATTTAACAATTACTCAAAATATTCCCTCCATCTTCCCAATACCTCTAGCTCTCTATTTAATAACTCTCCTCTCCTATTTTTAACTGACAAATCCATTTGTTCTCTAGGCTTTCTTAACTTGTTAATCTCACTCCAAAACTTTTTCTTATTTTCAACAAAATTTGTTGATAACATCTCACCCACTCTCTCATTTGCTCTCTTTTTACATTGCTTCACCACTCTCTTAACCTCTCTCTTTTTCTCTATATACTCTTCCCTCCTTGCATCACTTCTACTTTGTAAAAACTTCTCATATGCTAACTTTTTCTCCCTTACTACTCTCTTTACATCATCATTCCACCAATCGCTCCTCTTCCCTCCCGCACCCACTTTCCTGTAACCGCAAACTTCTGCTGAACACTCTAACACTACATTTTTAAACCTACCCCATACCTCTTCGACCCCATTGCCTATGCTCTCATTAGCCCATCTATCCTCCAATAGCTGTTTATATCTTACCCTAACTGCCTCCTCTTTTAGTTTATAAACCTTCACCTCTCTCTTCCCTGATGCTTCTATTCTCCTTGTATCCCATCTACCTTTTACTCTCAGTGTAGCTACAACTAGAAAGTGATCTGATATATCTGTGGCCCCTCTATAAACATGTACATCCTGAAGTCTACTCAACAGTCTTTTATCTACCAATACATAATCCAACAAACTACTGTCATTTCACCCTACATCATATCTTGTATACTTATTTATCCTCTTTTTCTTAAAATATGTATTACCTATAACTAAACCCCTTTCTATACAAAGTTCAATCAAAGGGCTCCCATTATCATTTACACCTGGCACCCCAAACTTACCTACCACACCCTCTCTAAAAGTTTCTCCTACTTTAGCATTCAGATCCCCTACCACAATTACTCTCTCACTTGGTTCAAAGGCTCCTATACATTCACTTAACATCTCCCAAAATCTCTCTCTCTCCTCTGCAT